TCCTTGACTTTTTTCTTGTTATTTATATGTTGAAATACATTTTTAATTATCTTTTACTTTTGTTACAAGTCTTTGTTTATTCTGAGCCTTTGCTTTCCTGACTTCATCTTTGCAGATATTGGCTATCTACTGATATTCTGCCTTAGCTATGTGTCCCTTTTTCCATTTTTTTGTACTTATCCTTTTTGTCTTTCAGTTTATCAGAGAGATCTTTGTGCAGCAATGCTGGTTTATTCTTGGATTTCTTGTTTTTCGTTTTTAGTGGTATTGTGCTGGACTGGGCTTTTATTACTATATTTTAGTTTCCCAAGCTTCTTGAGTTGTTTTCCCCTCTAGGATTTTCATTCAAGAAATCTTTCCAAGCTCTCTCTGAGTTTGTTCAAATCAGCTCTTTTAAAATTTAAGACTCTGATATGATTATGTTCCATGGCTTGTGTTTGCAATATTATTCAATATGGAATATTAAGTACCCTAATGGAGGTATCTTAAAATGTCACTGGTTCTCTAAGATCCCCAGATCTAATAAACACAACCATATCTTGAGGGACTAGTGGAACACAATGGAGCTAACCTTGTTTATAGAAAAAAAAGAAGTTAAAATGAGGTTGGGTGAACTCCATGATAGCTTCTTGGAGGTTACTGTGTAAATTCTTTGACCTGGATTTCCTTTGATTTGATGAAAAGCCTTGATGGCTCAAATTGACCTCTGAACTGGAAGTCACACGCAGCCTAGCAAAACCAAACCACAGATGCATAGAAAATATATTTATTAAAATGTATATTAGAATGTGCAAGAAAATATATATCTTTATGCAGCAAAAGTAGTCAGGGAAGAAAATTTGCAAATTAATGCAAAGATAGATCAAAATAAATGAAAGTGTACAAAATGGAAAACTGATTAAAATTCAGATTTAACCATCTCTGTTCCTAATAATAAACAAATGTTATTCTTACAGACAGTCATTTTAAACCACAGAAATGCCTTCGCATCTGTGCAGAAACATATTAGTAATTAGTTATTTCAACTACCCTGATATCAACTGTGAGACATACTCTGTATTGAATGGAAGATCAAAAAAGTTCCTGATGAGCCTAGCTGACAATTTTTTCATCCAAACAGTAGAGAAGGGAACTACAGTACCAGCTACAGTATACTGAACTTAGTTCTTACTAACAGAGATGAAGTGATAGAGGGAGTTGAAGTTGCTGGAGAGTGACCATGTTATATTTGAATTCAGGGGTGGGTTTCAACCGGTCCGTGGTGGTCCGCGTGGACCGGTTGGTCAGTGAACCCGGAAGTAAGTAACTTCCGGGAATGCCAAAGGGCCCATCCGCGCTCCTTACTGGTCTTTGAAGGCTTCTGCGCTTCCACACAGGGGCATGGCACATACAGCGCCTGCGCGATTCTCTGCGAGCAGCTGGAGCATCTCACAGGCGCTAAGACGCATGCGTGAACTGCGCGCATGCACAAGGACGCCACCAGCCCCATTCCAACCGTACCGGTTGGAACGGGATGAGCAACCCACCACTGAATTAAATATAATGCAGACATAAGTAATAAAATCAAACTAGTGTCTGTAAGAGATTGTAAGAGAGCTGACTTCGACAAACTTCAAGAGAGATTGGGAAGGATTCCATGGATGAAACTCTTAGGGGAAAACAACTCAAGAAGCTTGGGAAACTCTGGAAAATGAGTTTATAAAAGCCCAATCCACCACAATACCTCTGGAAAAGAAAAATAAGAGATTCAAGAAGAAACCAACATGGTTCAATAAAGACCTGTCTGATAAACTGAAAATAAAAAAGGACAAGTATAAAAAATGGAAAGAGGAACACACAACCAAGGCAGAATATCATCATATAGCCCAAATTTGAAAAAAATTAAGTTGGGAAAGCTAAGGCTCAGAATGAATTAAGATTTGCAGCAAATGTCAAAAATAGTAAAGGTTTCTTTCAACATATAAAAAAAGGAAAAAAAGGAAAAAGTCAAGAAAACTATCCACTAAAGGTAGATGATGGCAAGGAACTAACGGGCAGCAGGGAGAAAGCAGAGCTGTTGAATTCATTCTGATCTGTCTTCATGCAAAATGAAAAAATAGCCCAACCAATCAAAAACAGTACCATAAAATACAGATTAGGAATGCAAATCAACATTGGCAAGAAAATGGTAAAAGAACACCTATTCACTCTAGAAGTGTTCAAATCACCAGATCCAGATGGGTTCTGAAGCAACTAGCAGACATAGTCTCAGAACCACTGTAAGGGCCTGCCTCTCTTCTCCAAGAAAGCAGAATCTTGAAACAATTAACATTTCAAAAAGAACCTTTTATTGAAGGAAAGTCATAGCAAGACAAAGGAGGTAGGATCTGAGGATTCCCATGCAATTCCATTATGTTAAAGTAATTAGAAACCCCTTCCCTCAGTCCAGTGTTGAATAAGCCAATCCACAGGTGCGAAGTTGTTTTGAGAATCACTGGCTGAAAAGGTGATAAGAAGCTGTTCTCAGGCATCTCTTGCTGGAGGCTTCAGAGCTGAGACAAAACAGATGGCCATCCCCACCTTACATTCCAGTGACGTGCAGTGAGATTTATGGTGGGTGAGGCAAAAAGAAAGAAAGCAGCTTTTGACCGCCCCACCGCTATGTCCGACATAGAGGTGGGATAAATCGGATTATTTGCCATGAACAGAGGTTGGCCGAAAAGGCCGGGATCTCTTCCAGTACTCTTATTCTCAAAACCTAGGCTGTGTCAGGACATGGGGAAAGGGTCTTCTGCCTGCGTGTCTCTGCGTGTCTCTCCTACTGAAGGCAGAACAAGAAAGGGGGCAAAGGACTCCAGGCGGGGGCCCCTATTCAGCGGATTTAATATCTTTGTAGTCATTTTTCTCTTCAGTTTTTAGGACTCTAACCTCCAATTTTTCCATTTGATAAACATCTCCAACTTCATCATATTTTACTATGAGATGCTCTAGATTTTCCAGCTTCTTCTCCGTCCTCTCAAATGTGTTTGATAATTTCTGAATTTCTGACAATATCTTTTGCAAACTTAAAGTTTCTTTCTGCTGTTGTCACTGTGCCATTACCTCCAGCTGACAAACACTGCTGCTCTGGCTTGGAAGGTTTTTACAAGATTAAGCCTAAATTCACAATAAGGTCTTATTTTCACTTTTTTCTGGTTAAAGATACACTATAAAGGAACATCTGTATGCTTTTCTTCTTATCACTCTCTATAGACAAAACAGTGAGACCTTGAAGTGCCAAGAGATAATGTGGTCTGGCACACCATGCAGGCAATATACATGTAATAAACATTTTAGCCAAGGTTTTAGCCGACGGGATTTTGGAACATGGAACAAAATGAACTTCTTTGGAAAAAAAGTCTGTAATGACCCAAATAACAGTACTTCCTTGACTTTCAGGTAATTCAACAATGAAATCCATAGAAATTTCTTTCCACGGTGCCTCCGGATGGGCCACGCCCTGGGGTTTCCCTGGTGGGCGCTTCGCAGCAGCACATGTGGGGCAACTGGCCACATAGGACTCAATCTCCTTCTTCAATGACGGCCACCAAAATTGTCTTTTAATGAGATGCAGAGTTTTCACAAATCCAAAATGGCCTGCCATGCGTGAGTCATGGGCCCGTTGCAGAACCAAAGTTCTAATGGCAGCAGGAACATACAATTTAGCTCCTATCCTATTTGAACCAAAACAGGTTCAGCTGCAAATAGTCGTTTAAGTTTTTCAAATGCGGCTTGACATTCAATAGTCCAATTTAAGGGCTTTCCTGGTCTAGGTTTGGCCTCCCCTTTTGATTTCAGGAGGTTTGTAATAGGGAGGGCGATGCTAGCGAACGAGGGAATAAATTGATGATAAAAATGTGCAAATCCCAAAAAACTTTGCAACTATTTGCGGGTGTGGGGGGGTGCCTACTCAGTGACAGCTTGGACCTTTGCGGAGTCCATCTCGATGCCATCATGGGAGATGCAATACCCAAGGTAGTCAATTTTTTCCTGATGAAATTCACACTTAGACAATTTCGCATATAGCTCTGCTGCCCAGAGTTTTTTTAGCACTGAGCAGACCAGTTTCATGTGTTCTTCACATGTTTCTGTGTAAATAAGGATGTCATCAAGATAGACCATCATGCCTTTGTAGAGGTGGTCATGCCAAACGTCATTAATCAATTGCATGAAAACAGCTGGCACCCCCTGTAGGCCAAATGGCAGTATCCAGAATTGAAAACAACCAAGAGGGCAGTTGAACGCAGTCTTCCACTCGTCACCCTC